AAGCTGTTTATTCACGAAATAACAACGAAGACAATGCGTGGAGTCTGAAGCTGATCTTACAATCCACAGAGGATGGCGGGAAGCATCTAAATCTAAACAGAATAGTATTTCCAAGCTTCGACTTACGAGAGATTACATCACAGAATATAAACAACGGTCATTGGGGGAAAAGAACAGACAAGCATTCCTGTGGTTCTGTGGTCTAACTGGTAGAAGTATACATCCCCGACGCAGAGATATTCAGTACCAAGAAAAGCGAGTGCTGACTCAGCCAGGATAAGATAGTAGCTACAAGCATACATGAATGACATGATGTACATTCCTACTCTGATATAAACAAACATTCAAAACGATGCTCTAACCACTTGACAGTACGTGACCGAGTTCATCTGAATAACAACAAAAATTCAATTCAAAAATCAAACATAAGATTGTTCAATACAAAGATTAATTGTAAGATAGTGTAATTGCGTCATATTGTGAATATTATAACAATTATTTATTTTAATCCGTCTGATCACAATATAATTTATTTAAAATTTCTTATAATTCATGTTCCTTATCGATTGATCGATCGATATGGAACATATCAATCGATAAGGAACATGAATTATAAGAAATTTTAAATAAATTATATTGTGATCAGACGGATTAAAATAAATAACTGTTAAAGATTAATTGGTTAACGCTATTTTGGGTAAATAATCGCTGTTTATTCCGAGAATCATACGGAACCAATGAATACACTGTTATTTAATCTTAAACAAGATAATATATTACTAATTTAAATTTTTGGGATTTCTCACTCGTCATTAAGCTGCCTCAAAACAACATAATGACCGAAAAAATTCCAAAAAAAAAATGTAATTATTAGTTCAACACCATCGTCATTAACATTTAGAGATAAACAGGTGTTAAATCTCACAGTTACTGCTGGGTTTTGAAGCCCAGTGGTTAATCCGCGACTTTGGATTTTGGGATTAACATTTTTTTTAAATGTAAAATATTACAGGAAACTAAAGATTTGAGAAATCCTGTCCTGTACTATCATCGTATCCAGACCCGACAAATGGGCCGAGACAAGACGGGTACCCACAGCGCACCTCTTTTTGAGACCCACGATCTAAATTGTTAACAGAAGACTATTTTTAGTGCAACTCCCATGACCACGTGTATTTACACGAGCAGAGATTTATGCGTTCCGTGTCTAGGTAAAAAGCTATGACACTACGTTTTCAAACAGTGGTCCTCAAAATCGAGAACATGACCAACTCCGCGGGACACCCCTGATGTCACCGGCCATTACGTTCTTTGCATAACGCACGTAAAATTTACGCATGACGTGAAAGCCTTACCAATCCATTAGCCAGCATATTTTTTATCTACAAAACGGATGTTGGTTAAATTTCGTAGTATGAGTCAGCACTAAAATTGTTAATTTATTTAGACAAAATGTATCTCTTATTATTTATTTATTTATTTATTTAAAGGCCAGTTTAGCGTATTACAATCTGTTGCAACATCCATGTTTGCAGATCGGATTGAAAGTATAAGATTTATAAAACCTCTTTTCTTAAGTAAATTAAACATGAAAACATCTTCAAGACGACTCCCCGACAAACGCAGAGGACCCCCCCCCCCAGACGCCACCATAAAATCGTTTGCATTTCTTGCTACCAGAGTCACCGCTGTCAGAATTTGCTATTTATTTCTGCATTGCGCAAACGGAGAGTGAAGTGTGTTGGACATTGGTTGTTCTGTTAGAAGTTGATGCTTTCAATTGCTCAGACTGTACAGAGCAGAACGACAGATGATTGTAAATCATGGGGAAAGCCGTGTTCGTGAAGTAGCTTACAGCATTTGCCTTGGAGGGACTGAATAATACCACTAACCTGTCAGGATAGCTAATCTCTGCGAATATATATGAAGATAGGGGTCTCCTAAATACGGGTTTTAAATATTTCCTCTCTTACGTGCGTAGGTAACTAAACTATTATACGCGACATTCCTCGAATCTACAGGGTGGGTGAGAAGTAAGTAGGCATTGAGAAATGGTTATAACCTCTATATAAACCTATAGAGATTATTTAATGCCTACTTACTTTCCACCCACCCTGTAGTTCTAGGTCCAATGAACTATGTTTTATACAGACAGGAGAAACAACGTATCATTACTCGGATGAAATCATTTCGGTGGCAGCGACCAGACAACCTTGACAGGAAAAAAAATCTGCAGTTCAACAACTGTAAAATTCAGGTCGTGGAAAAACTCAGGACACACTCGAAATGAAAACGCACACGGATAAGGGTTTTTTCATCACGATTTTTAATTTAATAATTTCTGTCCCTTACAAATATCTTCACAGGTACGTCCTCCGCGTAGGAAAGAGTTAAAAAAAAACTTTTCCACCACTCTGTAGCTGCAGTATAAATTATCCGTGCCGCCTGAATATACTTCTTAGCCAGGTAGGTACCTAACTGTTTTAATACACTTTAAGACACTTGTCTTGTACTTTTCTGGAATAAAATTTCGAAGTACGTCCTGACTGAGTCTGAATTTCTAAAAATAGGATTTTAAAATCAGTCCCACCTCAGAGAAAACACCACACTTCTCTAGGACAGAATTCAACTGGTTAACTAACTAGATGGCTTACAGAACCCACAAATTCTCTCTGTTGACAAAACGCAGAATTACTGATTGTTACAGCATTTGGTACAAATAATTATCGCTGTACTATAAGGTGTTAAATAAAACTAGAACTATCCGTCAGATGTCCCAGAGGTGGGTGTGTCCCAGAAGACACTGGACATTCCGATGTTGCGACAATCGGTCGATGGACCCCGCCGGCCCTAGACACGTCTAGCAAGTCACTTCGCATGGAACATTTCACTTACTCAAACTGTGTACAAGAATGTTCTTATACATTCCAAAATCTGTGATTTTTGACGTAAATACGTCTATACGGAAGGGGTCATTCGGCAAAAAAGTGAAAGGAAAACGTGGAACAAAAATTTGTAAGATCCGTAACAACAGATCGACAACAATGGTTACCTAGGGAACGTCGTGTTTACTCGGCATTGTTGTTACCTAGGGAACGTCGTGTTTACTCGGCATTGTTGTTACCTAGGAAATTTGACCAAGTGGTTGGTCCTTCCTTTCATTGTATTTATTGCCTAAATATAATTTAAATACAGAGACGTATTTACGTCAGATTCTCCGGAACCGTGGTTCCACTGTCAATTTTTTCATCGTCGGCATTCTACCAACTACGGAAACCAACGTCTGGGTCATTATTCACAGACGTTTGTCAGGAACTACCAGCTGATTCAGTTTCAAACCCACATACCCCTTGCAGTCCCTGAATTAGTGACTAAAAAAAAAATGTTTCGTCCCCCAAACCACCGCCACCACCACAGTGGGCATCTGTGTAGCTGGACAGTTCTGTGAGCGTTATTCGTGATGACGTTACAGTCCCCACAGATCATTGGTGGTTATTTTGAGACATACGTTCTGTTACACTGGCACTTATTATTGTGACTTTTCTCTTCAACGTATGCCACTATTTTTAAACCCGATGTAAAGTAATTGTGCCGCCTCAATGCCTATTCCCTCCCGGCCATTAATGGCTCCCTAGTAAAAGTCTCTGACGAACACAACATACACGCTCGGTCTATTTAATTACTCATTTATTTGAACAAGAGAATCAAATTCCCTCTCGCAGGATGGTTTGAGATTCTGAAAGTGTCTTTACTGAGGTATTTCATAACTTCCCCCAGTTTTTCAAACCGAATGTCAGCTTACATTAACGTATAACAAGGCCACTTTCTTCCACGTCCTTAAGTACTCAGACTTCATGACGATTCGACGTTATATCTCTCGGTTTCGGTAAGACGCGCGTAAGTGAATCGAAGTTCCTAAGGACTTTAGTACTCCTTATGGAGTATGACACAAACCCATGCTGCTGAAACAACGTCGTATCTTACAACGCACTAACCATAATTCATTCAAGTAATGTCTACGTTGACAATTCTAACTTGCCTAACGTAATGCAGGCCAGTACCAAAACTACACTTTACGCTACTTAAATCAAGTCTGGTAGTGAGTGGCTTATGTGGTTTTAATCTCTTCGAGTCAACGTCAGCGTACAACTAGCTTTAAAAATCAACAACTGCTTCTCACCACGGATTGTATTAAAGGCTTACTACGATTTTCAGAAAAGTTCTACTATTATATGACGAAACTCAAGTGCATTCATTTTTTATAAGGGGTCAACCAGTTGTTAACCTTTGCCAACATGAGGGGCGGTTGGTCATTTACCGACCTGCTGGATATCTGCACTTGCAATTGCTGCTACAGAGTGAATGTCTGCCGTCCACCTGATTTGGACCAAAGACGATACGAAACAAAACTTACATAATCAGAAACAGAGTTCAACAAGCCTTGTCCATACTCCCCGACTTTTCCATAACTTGAGTCAAGGAGACGAGCAATGTCTTCAACTGAGATTTTTCACATACAGAATTATCGCAAGAGATTTCCGTGCAACAAACAAACAAACAGACTTAAACGTCCCTCACGAAGTGAAATGTTGTATAAGTAAAACACGTGGGCATATTTTATAAAACCAGTTCTTTTTTAAATATCAATGCATAAGTAACATAAGTAAGTTAGAAGAATTCATACTGACGGTGAAGCTATTTCATTATAATCGATCAGTAAAATGAAACGTATTTTGTAAAGCGAATAATTAACATTTATAAAATTAATTGATAAAGACATCCAGAAAAGTCCCTAGACAGGCGCGGGTCCCGGGGCGAAGCAGTCTGTGCGGGGCTTCTACTTAAGATTTCTAAGCCCTAAGGACGACACTGAAGACATTGTAATAGGGTTACAGAAGTAAAACGACGTAGAAATATATCGAAAATAGCAGAAAATCATATTCCAAAGACAGTTTCGCATTATGGTCACAATTACAATTAGTAAGCGGGGGCCTGCCTACCTTGCTCTGCAGAGTGGCGTTGTGCAGTTCGTCGAGTGTGGGCCGGTAGGCTGCCTGGATGGACATGATATTCCGGTAATTGTCGAGACGCGGTAGTGCCTCGCGGGTGAAATGACGAAAACTTTTGGCGTAGCGGGTGTCATACCCGTCGTGTTCAGACGTGTGGGACAGCAGCATTGTGGGCGAGGTGGCACGCGGCAGGTCCTCGAGCGAACCCCGACGGGACCCTTCCTCGTCGTCGCCACGACCACGAAGAGGTACACCTTCCTCGTCTACCCCTCCACCGCCCTTGGAAGTCGTGGCGTCTACACGGTTCACCTGTAACAGCGATGGAAACCTCGTTGACTTATTAAAGGGTGTCATACTTCGGATTTCGGAGTTTACGACGCCTCCAACACACGACGCGGGTACAGAAGATGAAAACTGCTGGGTAGCAAGTAACCGAAATCACTGGAAGAGCTGAAAAAAGGCAGGAACTTTTCTGTATCTTACCTGGTGTTGCAGCTGAGACATGAACCAAGTCCTTCTTGACAAGCTTATAGTCGCTCAGATAGTAAAGAAATTGCCCAAATGTTATGAAACCCAAAGGTTCATTATCGGGTTCACAAGAAGCCGTCATGAGCCAGATGAATCCAATCCACAACTGGATCCTATCTCGTTTCTAGTGGTAGGCTCCCACCTATTCCACCTTCACTTACAAACTGGTCTATATTTATGATTTACTCAAGCATGCATGTTGCATGTCTTCCGGAAGACCGCAACAAACTACTATGAAAACCTCAAATCATCATTAATTTTTTTTTTTTGCTTTAAAATATAAACCAGCTCGTACAATATCGCTCAGCAATTCATTTTTATCCTTCAAATGACATTGGTAATCACATGTCAACCAACTTTAACATTCAACAACCCTATTTTGCCCCCCCCCCGCCCCCCCAAGTGTACGTATTCGTTTCGTATGATTCTCAGTACAAAGATTATTTCCTTAAACAGCGTTAACCAGCTGATCTTTGTAATGGTGTTGTGTTCTCTTTTCGGTACGGGCCGAATTATTAAATAACATTTAGACGAGATTCAGCTTCAAAAGCTAATTGTAGCGTTTCTGCACGAAAGCGTTCTTTTAGTATCACCACGTTCACTGGGACTTAAGTAAATGTTTTTCTATTGTTAACCTTGAATGTTCTATGGCGTACATTGTAAAAAAAAAACAAAAAAACTTCACGGTTATTTAAGCGACTATAATCCTGCTCAAAAAAGTTAAATTTGTAATTAATTCCGGAACGTGACTGTGTCTCCTCTTTTCGCACGTAGGCACTGTTGAAACGTAAGCGAAAAGATGTTACCCATTTTGAATTAAGAGTTCGCATGCGAGATCATTTCGTTCATGGTCCCTCTTTAGTTCTCACGTTCCTTTGTTGAAGATACAAATCGAATGTTCACAGATTTCAACAATAGCTTAGCTCGAGTTCGAATCCTTCTCGCATCTCAGATGTTTCCATGGGCCTCTGCGTACTGTTAGGAACATTACTACACCTTCGTCAGTTACTCGAGAAATCCCCCCCCCCCCCATTTTTACAGAAGCCCTGTTTGCAACAGCGTGACGTTGGTCCACAACCAGAGAAAGGTAAATCCAGTTCAGTCATCCTATTTCTTTTGTTGTGTAGTGAAATTTGGCCCCTCTCCCTGAAGGAAGAACGTGCACTGTGAGTGTCGGAGGAACACACTGCCTTCATCGTCAGAGCAGCACGTCCCTCCTAATCGTCGTCACAACCCACGAAACCGACATCGACATTTTCACTGCCGTCAAAACAGAAATCTCAAACGTGGGTGTTGCTGTGTAGAATGCTCTACCTTCCAGGACACAACAGGAAAATGAAAAAAAAATCACTGTGATGAGTTTCAAAAATTTTACTCTAGTGCCAACGATCGGTGCTGACCTATGAAACAAACCACTCACGCTTTACCGTATCCGCTAGCCTGTCGGTTACGACCAGATGTACCGACTCAATTAACAATGAACTGTCTGTGATAACATCTCTATAATAAACACAATCATCGGTGTGCAAATGGAAAACAATACATTTGCAAAATAAACAATCGGAAGACTGTGGGAATTTAGTGGGCCTTCCTTTCCAAAATCGCACCGAAAACACGAATGTTGCTACACGAAAACCGAGATACTGTTCATTCATAAAACTGTCACACAGAAAACACCATGTAAATTAAACTGTTTAAACTTCCTGTCTACAGCATGAAAACCAAATAAGCATCTGTCATAATATACACAGAAGCTATTTACATTTTCTGAACATGTGTGCAGAAAGCTATTATTTTTTAAAAATGTTCCCAAGTTATACTTTACGAACGTAGTCCACAAAATTCGATTATTAGTATCGTTCCATTTTTGGAAAATAACTATTACATACGTTACAAGTCAAGATAATTCAAATATCCATTCTCTGTATAATAGTACAACACAGCACGAATATCATTTGAAACTACATCCGTTACAAGCATGAGTTGCATTCTTAAACGACAACAGTGTACACAGAGATAATTTTCAGATCACATTTGTTGTGTTGATTCATTACTTTACACAACTTCAGATTACAACCGCTTTGTTCATTCACTACTTTTCTTACCTGGAACCGCGTTCTCTTATCCATGCTTCCAAGTTCAACTCCCCATGAATTTCTTCTACTATCATCAGCAGAGCCTTTCTCTGACATGTTGTATTTACTGTAAAGATAGTCACACCTTTATTGCCGTTAAAATATATATTTGGATACTTCAAAACTATATTTGTCATAAAATACTTTTAACAGCACACGCTACCGGTTCAACACACTTTACTGAACAAGATCACACGTGTCGACTTCTGCCGCGAAACGGCACAACTAACAGCACGACAATCGATTCTAGACTCCCCGCCAAATGGCTGCCAGTCTAGTCTCACACACTACCTGCTGTAGCGCTAGCGTCGGCCGAACGGAGCCGTCATCTGTTATTTCAATTCATAATTAAACAAAAATGGTCCCGCGAAGTACAACTAGTGTAAAACATATCCTCATTTTGTCCTTGAAACACTTTTAAAACATATTTGTTTCTCCCTTCATAAAATTTTTATCATAGCTGCAATGAAAACTAATAAATTGTCTTAACATCCTCACGGCTGAGAAAATGTTACTCACAATAGAGTGAAATATTCTTTAAACTTTAGCGATATACTTACAGGAGAACAATTTGGATTTAGATAATGTATACTGTGTGATTAATGAAGCAGGCCTACTCTGTGATCTGAAGTAGAACAAAAAAAAAATTACAGTGGAACCACGATTCCGGATAATCTGACGTAAATGCGCAAACTCAGCAGTAGCGTGAAGTGCGATGCGCCTTTATCCCTTACCTCAAACTTTGTTCATATGTAAGAGACCACGATGTCCACCGGCAATGATCAATTTAATCAAAACTAAATTGGAGAGAGTGGAGGGCAGTATCACAAATTTCTTAATAATTCGTATATAAGATAAGTAATTGTGATATTCTAAAACGTTTTTAAAAGCAAAATATTATCTACTCTACGACGCACTTCTTCTACAAGCGATTCACAGCTCAGCTCTTTCCGCTATAACAAAAGCGGATTGATGACGGCAGTAATGAAACAAAACAACGCCGAATAAACATAACAATTGGTTTCTTAGGTAGAGTAAAGCATTGTTATGCACGCAGGAGTTCATATAAAAGCTGACCATTGTTGGTATGGATCTTACACATTTTCCTAACGCTGTTTTTGCCGAATGACCCTTCCGTATAGACGTATTTACGTCAAAATGAAGTTACTTTTTATTTACTATAAAGAGAGAGATCGAAGGCGGCGCAATAATTTAACGCACTTTCAAACTCGATACTCCACAATCGACAATCGTGACCGGTGGCGCTGTGTCGATACATAAAAATGGCGTTAACGTTGTGGAGTTTGTATGAAGTAGTTTTACTGTGTTTAAATGCAGTATGCATATTACATGAGGAACGATTTTTAGCTAAAAGTATGCATTTTGTCCTTTCTTATTAGCAAGTATGTAAGAATATTAGTTTACGAAAAGGTTTCTGGCATTGAATAATATGCATCATTAATTAGTGTTTGCCTGAACCTCAATTGTGCATGTCAGATCTTGCAAAGGTCTCTAATTTGTTGAAAATTTTAGAATTAGAATTTTGTTACAGAGATTAGAGATGCCACATTTTTAGGCTGGAATTCATATCTTACTTAATCTTTAATTTTTATATCTTAATTGCATCATGCTTGTGTTCCTCAATACAATACTTTTATTTCCGTCGTTACACAAGCTTATTGTTAAAAATCATATAAAATTTCACATAAAATTGTTACATTTTAAAATTGACATGTTTCGATATACAATTCTATCATCATGTCGTCAATTTTAAAATGTAACAATTTTATGTGAAATTTTATATGATTTTTAACAATAAGCTTGTGTAACGACGGAAATAAAAGTATTGTACTTTAATTTTTAGTTGGCTGGAGTTCGAATCAGAATATTCAAGGTTTTGGGGAGCAACCGTCTGTCAAATCACAAGTATTGAATCTTGTACGATCAATACGAACTGTAATGAGAAGTAAGTATGTGAACATTGTGTGCTTGTAAATAAAGTCAGGTTTTAATGTTTTAGTACACACATACTGACCATATTAATTTTTTTATATCAAGCTGGATTGTTAAGCACTTGTATATGTAGCAGTAAATATTGTGTGGCATTGTGAGCATATAACACGGCCTAAATGGTCACGCTGGTGGTTTTGTGGCTCTGTATACGGTGTATGGTCATTGCAGATTCTTCTGTAAAGAAAAATCCTTCTATTGCATTGAAATTTGAGAACATTATAAAAACCTGCTTCTTAATGATAGCATATTGATATAATGCAGCTAACCTTGTGGGTGGATGATGACTTATGCTGACAAACTTTCTTCATGGGATTTACTTTTCTTATTCAGTGTTACATTATCTTAATTAAGCTTGACATCTGTCAGGAGACACTTAATATTTTTCTTGTTCAGAAAATTCTGTCTTTAATGAACATGTTTTAAGCATGTGATGCCACATAATTTGTACTGTATATGATTCATATATAATATTTCATGGAAACAGATGTGAAGTAGTGTTTTAGACATTGCACTGTGTACAGAATTACATAAAACAAGAATGAGAGCATTTGGGAATTATGGTCAGATGAAATTCAGTAATAGGCTGTAAAGTAACAGGAAAGTACAAGAACATTTATTTCTAAAATTTGTCTTTTTTTCAATCCCCTCAGAAGTGCAGGTATACTAATATTCTAAAGTATTAATTACGTTTGTATTTTTAACCTATATCATACAGAAAAGGGGATTTAAACCCCCATACAATGTTTGGTTGATAAAGATTAAACTTAGTTGGAAGTAAGGGGCAGGATACCTGTTATATTTTAATGATAACCTCATCTTTGTGAGTATCATAAGGATCTGGTGACCTAATACTGTACATGTTGATTTATTTCAGTTCCCTTGATTTTCCTGAATATTCTAACAATAGTGATCAAGCTCATACTTGGATGATAGTGTGGAAGATGATGTGAATAATGTGAAATACTACTATGGTTATGTACAACTGTGTTTAAAAACACTCCATTTACCTAACAACAGACAGCAAGATTTAAACACTAAGACAAGTGTGGTGTTGTGCGAGTTCAGTGACCATCAGCATTCCATAAAATAAAAATTATTTTTGCAAGAACAAACCACGTTTTCAATGGAACTCTGTATAATACACATGGAAAATTGTTAATAAAATAATTTATTATATTTATTCTACACACTGTTGTCACCTTATATTGTTGATTCTCAATCCATAAACTTGGAGAATATTCAAACCCCCATCCATATATCCCGCAATCCCTAGAGATTTTCATACATGTTCTTTCATTTTAGATACCCACGTGACCTGGTCCATTCCCATGCAAATATAACTTTATATGGTGTTTTAAAAATAATACCAGGACTGAAAAGAAACTATTCATTTGGATTAAACTGCAAAGCAAATATATTTTCCTGCAATATTCACCATAATCTCCATATTATATTGTGAATTTTCATTAAAATAATACTATCGCAAAAACAACCATTTTAGTCTATTATTTTCATAACCTCCAAAACTTTGGATACCAACAATGGAGAATCAGAAAGTTGGGAATCAGTGCATTACATCTCTTGAGATTTATAGACTAGATTGATGACATTCAGTGTCACAGAAAGCATGGAACATGTCATGAAGTGCATGCCTCTTGTTTTTAGGTATCAGATTTGAATCTTGGTAGTGAGAATGGTTGCTCTTAACATAGGATATCTGTAAGGCTGGGAGAATGTTGGATGTTGTTTGAACTTGGGGAAAATCACTTAGCAACAAGTTAAGAGTCAATGTAACTTTTTTTAAGCATCTCAAATGTCTGTAGTGTACTTATCAGCTACAATATTTAACATTACAAGCAAATAAACTTAAGTATTAATCCAGGAAAGAAGAAGATACAGATCAGCTGAGTAATCAGAGATTTTAATATGACTTGTCACTGCCATGTCTTGCTTTCAAACCACTTTTTTTATGAAATCACCCAGACTCAGACATCCTGAACCAACTGTACAACATAAACTTTGAGAAAAACAAACCAGAAACCTGAGAGCATATTTCTTACTAAAATGGCGTCAGCAACTTGGCCTTCAGATATCAAATAACAATGAGGTTACTGTTGAAACTGTGAGAAAAATTGCCTGCTTGTTTTATCAAAAGGAACAGTCATGTGGATTGGGTCACTTATTTGCTTACAAAGATTGGTACAAAATCATCTGCAACTTTGGTTTTAGACTGTCAATCTCATTCACATGCACAGAAAGTTATTTGCTCCACCAATGAGACATGCAAAACTCCCCATTATAAAAATTAATGAAAATCCATTTAGCATTTCCTGAGTTGTTACATGCAGATGGACAGACAAGGCAAAAATCACAGGAAAATTTAAAACTTCTCACTGTGAACATATCAAAGACTACTTTTACTGTATCAGAATCTTTATCTGACAAGAACTTTATACAAACATAATTTTTCTTTGTTATTCTGAAAATTGACAATGATAGTGATACTTGTGACTGTTATTTTAGGGTCTTCTTTGTTGGTAAAAATTTAATTAGCAAGGTAAGGTCAAGGAGCATACCTGGAGGCACAACACAACATTCTTCATTTGGGGCTCTGTTAGTACTTTTTGAGAACACAAGATTTTGAGGGGAAACAAATGTTTGGGAAACACTGCTCTAAGCTTTACAGCAAGAATTCCTGTATCAAGACAATGAAAATAATTTTAAAAATGACAATAATTAAATCACAAATTGTTTATATATGAGCTTGTTTCAATAAAACAAATGTCAATTATTAATGCTCATAATTTTTATTATGATTTCTTGTATTAGTAGTGATAAAATACATCATCACATTCTTGTCAGTATAAATCACCAAAAATTCTGACTCTAATATGTAATTGATACTGAACTGACACTGTACCCCCTAAATATTAGAGCAATTAAAATATCTCTCTATACGCTTCTACATCCCATATGGCTTGTCAATCAAATGTTAACATTAAAATAGCAGGATTCTTATGATTTTACAAAAATGGAATCTGAAAGATGTCTGGTACATTTACTATACTGTAAATATAACAAGAATTTAATCCTCCATTAAAATTCCAGTGGTACTACACCATTTATAGCAGGATGGTCATCATATCTACTTTGTTCTGAATGCAGGTAAGTCCTTTCAGCTTGAAGATGATGGTCATGTGTGTTGTTGTGCTGTGTAGTCTGGTAGAAGTTTACTGACTACCCAGCACAACAACCCAGAAGACAGCCATCTTCAGACTTACTGCCATGAAGCCTCAAATCCTACCTTTTGGCTTGTAACTTCTTAGCTAGTTGCAAACTATTCTACTTGTATCTCCTCCACGAGATGTAACATAATTGTCTTAAAATCTTTACAGATCATCAGGGAAACAAAATATACATGTATATTAATTTTTGACATTCAATAAAAGCATTTGCTTTTAAAAAAATGTTAGATTTAATTAATCAATTACTTAGTTATTATTTTCTGACATGCATCATACTTTTTACTTGCATATTTCTTTTTATACCATTTGCATTGAATTTTACTGTTTGCTATCGTCTTCCCTCCAAACCATGGCCTTTAATGTCTGCTTTTATTTAATCACTCAAAATCTCTTCATTTCTATTGCAGTTCTTCTATTCTCACTTATGCAGTTTTCAAACATTCTGCTTCTCATTTATATCAGTAATTTTTATTTTATGCTTTTTTCTGTAGATAGTTACAATTCAATCAGTTAAGTGACTGGGCAGGGACTGTACAAAGAAGTGTTCAGATTTTGACTTCACTAACATGTCCAAAATATTCTATAGCCTACCCAGTATCCTATCCAAAATGCAGAAGGAATTCATTCTCTGAGCATAAATTTACTGAGTAAAAGAACTAACCTCTTGCCAGCCAGCTACAACAAGATCTAGAATGTGTGAAGTTTCATCTACGCATCCTGTATTCTTATACCTTCTTAGTACAATGTTCAGGCGCATGACAACTTTCCTTTAGCTTTATTTTATTGTTTCTTCTATATATTTCCTTTACTCCTGTTTTTTTAAACTTTTATCAATCGGTTCCCCACATGGTCACATTTTCTGGTGTAACAACACCTTTTTATCTCTGCAATTTGTTGCCATATTTGTTTTCATCCTTCTATCTGCTGCCATTTGATTCTATCAGTTCCATATGATTATAATAACATTATACAGCTAATTAACACAATTAGGCAAATGCATAATTTGCCTGGAAATGTCATACTCTTCCAGACAAGAGACTAGTTATTCTAAATTCAATACTGTACTCACTTCAACCATACCACAATTAAGGCTGAAGTTCACTTCACTGAAGGTGCAGACAGAACATAACTAATATCTTTTATATTAAACTATAAACTTAATTAGTGTTCATAAAAATTGCAGTTTTTATTATGTGCATATGTACAATTTTAGTATTAACCTTCAATACGAAACAAGTCTTCTGTTGTTTGATTCTGAATCTGTATTTAGTCTTTCATTGCCGTGTCATCAGCGTTATTCTGAAGAGCTATTTGTGACAGCTGCTGAGTAAATAATACAAATATAAAATGCATTAAGATCTTAACAGGCATTTTGGAATGTAAAATCTCTATTGTGAATCTAAAAATTCCCCACTTAATGGTACCTGCACCTTGTCGTGGTGGTGGGGCTTGAGTACCTCAGTGACCCCAAGAGCTACTGGTAGGGTCTCCCAAGCCAGATTGGTCGAGGGGGAGAGGTCAGACTAAGACAGGTACCCTGGTCCTCCAGATTGGGTGTTGGTCGCAAGGCTAACAACCTTGCACTGTAAATAGGAAGATGTTTCAAAACCTCAATCAAAGCCTTGGACAGACGGACCTAACGGAGGACCGAATGGAAGAGGAGAATTGAGGAGGCCATGGACCGAATACGGACCGGAGAGCCATAAAAGAAGAAGAATCTAAAAATTAACATGTTAATATGACACATATTACCTGTTGCACATAGAACTTGATGAATAACTACAAAAGACTATTGCTCAGAATCCACTACAATACTGTATATGTCTTCCACGCTCTGAACAACTGTACGCCACATTTACATTGCTAGTTCAGTGGTGATGGCAGCAGCAGACTACTTAAGAATAAACTGTGATGACTGAAGTCTGGTTGCCACGAATAATGAGGCATGGAGGCATCCCCTTCGTCAGCAGTTCAAGCCAGGCCATATATAAAGGGGCAGAAACAACGTCTTTCCTTGGTATTGGCAGTGCCCTGCAATTTGGAATGCAATTTTATAGTGTTGAACACTTTATGTTCACACATTTTTATCATTTTACAATTCAATTAGTATGTTCCTGTTTCCTCCTATATTCAGAGAAATTAATACACTCATCCATCAACTACTCATCTTTATACAAGTAATTCAGCAATGACATAAAATACATTGTATAACAACCAGTGTTTTATACAATGATGCAAGTTGTTGAAATCCATTCTGTTCACACTAATGTTTCTTCAAACAGCATTGTACTCATATTTACATAATGATATCTGTGAGAATTGTCTGTACATGAATAAGCACAATGATTTCAATACAGTGGGATTCAAGATCTTAAACAACACAGAAAAATTATGTTTTCTTACAGAAATTTTCTTGAAAATAATAGATTTATTAATTTAATTCATTACTGGTACTAGTGTTATAAAAGAAACAATGTTTAGTCTTCAGAATTTTAATATAATAGACAATCGCTACATACATAACGATAAAAGTCGATTCCATTGAGTACTGTAGCAAAAGTTCACGTATTCGCATGTGCCGATTAGTTTTTTCCTTCAGTGCAAGCAGTTCCGACTCAGTGATGCAGGTTTTATTTGAAGCTGTGAAGCAAAACATGATAATGAAGGTATAACATCCATATTATTAAAAATCAGAATTGTTGCTCTAGTGAACATTTCAGCCATAATTTTGAACTATTCAGATACAGTTGCTCTAGTGAACATTTCAGCCATAACTTTGAACTATTCAGATATGAAGTATAACGTATATAAAGCAATGATACCTTTTTTTTTTAAAATAATTTGCACATGACATTCGTACAACACAGAAGTCACTTCATTTATTTGTAATCTAGATAACATACTTTTCGAAGTGTCAGAACTATCTCCATCCTTAACTCGAAACGGTTCAATAAAAGTTTCAAATTCTTTTCTTGTTGAGTCCATGGCTTTCTTGTGGATGTCAGAGATAATTACAACATCACTGTAGTCAATTCGGAACTTTGACAGAAGTGCTGCAAGGCTGTGATTAAAAAAATTATTATTGACAAATACATACCAGAGGGCATATTTGCCGATATGATGTACTTTTTATCTCATATTATTTATGTTATATTAGGTATAAACTTCATGATAGTTTTATATTTAGAATCAAAGCTCATTATATCATTTAGACTAAAAAAATCCTTCAATCAACTTTACATATTAGAGAGAACATACGAGCCCCGTAAATACCAGCCTGAAACATGCCGGGGTACTAAGGCATGTCAGGTTCAGAGACACCATGGTATACAAAAGTGCTACTTTAATAGGAAGGAAAACGTAGATAGAAAAAATTATTTTTGTATATTTGTTTTTTCATATTTAACCTAGGGAAATGGATGGGAAGGTCACACTGATTTGTAAGCAGAAAATGGCGTGAATACGTGTAACTTGGAAAGCAATGAATTTGAACAAACTGATGGTACTATTACGGTAACACATTTCTAGGAAAACATTAAATCACTTACATGTAAGAGACAAACTCACTTACTTCCTCTGATCGTTATCCAGGTCATCACCTTTGCTTGCAAGGGAGAATATTCGGAGCTGACAGCCAGAGAATTGTGAGCGTGTACTCAGTATATATGGAATCAACAATGTCAGACCTAGGAAACAGAAAGTAATGTTCTGAAGTAAGACATTTGTGACAGAATTCTTTGTTCCATCAACCCCTTTCTTGAAAAATCAGAATATGCCATTTTATAAAAGGACAGGCTACAAAAAGTTATGTCTTTCTAAAACAAATAGAGTATTCCAATCCATATTAGTAATATATCTGTGAATTTCCTTAAAATAACAACAGCACACAAATATCTGTCATTATGTGATATTTGAGGTTATGTTCTGCATTGTGATACCATGTGGATTTGTAGATATCACTGTTTAAGAGAAATATACTTTCTCCATATTCATCGGGTAAATACACTGTCTCCATTTTCAGGTCTGAAGATGTGTACTTCTCCAAAATGTCAGTATCTACCTACAAGTCCACACAACATCATAACACAGAATAGAAACTCTTGCATGTGTCATAATGCATTTTTTTCTGGCAAAACCTTTGAAATATTTCTTGTACACTCAAGGGAATCTGCAAACTGCTGACAAAGAATGAATGCATATAAGTACAGAATAACATAAATTAACATACGATCAGTAAAAAAACATACCTCCATCATCATAGAGCCACCACACGTCGATGAGACCTTTGGGTTGCTTTCTTTGAAACTGTGTGATGTTGTTCAGGATAGATTTAGGTAAAGGCTCTCCTCCAGGACTAACATACATTGCAATGTTTGACTTCTGAGTTTTCAATGTTTTTCGACTTTTCTTGGAAGTAACGGTTACTGTTGTACTGGATTCAAGTAAACTGTCACTTGCAACCGGGTCACAGTTCATTGAAGGACTCTCTGTGTCACTGTTCAAGGCATCTGACAAGACACTGATGTTCACATCTGTATCAAAGGATAATCACAAAGTTTGTGGAAGTTCTACTTCGCTGAAAAACCTATATTAATTTTTGTGTTTATTTTACTTTAGTATGAAAATTCTTATTATTTATTGTATAATCACAGGATACAGGAACCATTGAAGAAACGACCAACCCAAAATATGGTTCTTAAAGTAAATAAATTTCTGTATGGATTAATATGAGATATCCCCCTCCCCACCCAAAAAAGCTGCATTACATTCAAAGTGGTAGTTGGAAAATTAAGGAAAATATTTTCCTACAAAAAGTTCAACATTCAATTAAGTGAAATGTACTATATAATACTATAAGCATTTTTCAAACCTGACCACTGAACTTGGAGATAAATTAAGTAGGATTTGAGGTTCTCACAGTGGTGAATACAAAGATGGCTGCCTTTTGAGTGATGGAGGCAGCAAGGACCTCTAAAACATTAAACTTCTACCAGACTACGCAGTGCTACAACCCAGAAGACAGCCATCTTAGAAGAAAAATTACTTTCTGATATAATTAAATACACTCTGTTTTAATATAAAATTGTACTACTCATGGAGGAAAAAAAACATCTTCATCACAATGAGGACATATGCTTAACATTATAGGTAGGATATACTGCAAAACCAATTAAATAATTCCTTATAATTATTATTATACATTCTTTATAACAGGAACATAAAGTTCATCTTTGTTACCTTGTGATACAAGTTGATTTGATGACTGGTTGCGTCTCATCTTCTCCTCTGCATCCTTTTTGTCCAGTGTAGAGATCGGAACAAACTCCTCATCTTGGATAATACCCGAGTAGTCAAGTCCTTCTTGAACCCTCAAGATACCAACAGCGAGGTATCGATCCAGTGCATTACTGTGCAGGGAAAGCTTCTAACACGTCATATTCGACACAAACAACGAGGCACTTACAAAATATATTTTACACTCTTTGGGGTTGTAGGGTTGTGTCGGGTACTGTGGACTTATTTGCAACTCTGAGAGTATTCAATCATTCAGAATTTATGAAATATCAGTTAAATATGTAGATGCATTTGGAACATGTCATGTCATGAGATTGGAAATTGGCGGCACTGAAGCAAATTGCCCATACTGGAAGTTGTTCAGTAATAAGTTACTACAATTACAAATATTCCTACATATTAACAACAAGCTTGACATTTTTTTAAAAAAAGAAGTAATTATTTATAATTATAAATTTCTGTGTGATATCATTACAAAAGCAACGATAAATCAAAAGGAAGTTTAATAAAATAAATTTATATTATATTATATTGATCCCCACTTAATGGTACCTGCACCTTGTCGTGGTGGTGGGGCTTGAGTACCTCAGTGACCCCAAGAGCTACTGGTAGGGGCTCCCTAGCCAGATTGGTCGAGGGGGAGAGGTCAGACTAAGACAGGTACCCTGGTCCTCCAGGTTGGGGGTTGGTCGCAAGGCTAACAACCTTGCACCGTAAAAAGGAAGATGTTTCGAAACCTCGATCAAAGCCTCGGACAGACGGACCTAACAGAGGACCAAACGGAAGAGGAGAATTGAGGAGGCCATGGACCAGATATGGACCGGAGAGCCATAGAAGAAGAAGAAGATATTATATTCATTTCATTCTTAGCCAATATTTCTATAGTCAAAGTAATCCAAAAATAAAGACTGCTGTAACAATAACAAATTAAATTTTGAGTAAAATAAATAATACATATGAAGAAACAAAACGTACCACTGATGTCCAAATTCTTATAATTGGTCGAATGCTGTATAAAACACAAGCAACTGACTTCTTTCAAGAACAGTGAATGGACTGAGGAATATTTTTTGGTACAGAAAATATAAAACAGAAATAGAAACATGTTACTTACTGAATAACATTGAAGTACTGCTTAAGTTCTTCTGGATCACAAGTTCTCCAGTTTCCTTTATATCCCATAAGAATCATATTTGGACGAAGTTTGCCAAGGCCTGAGATCTGCATTAGCACTTGACATCCAGCTTCAAAGCTATCATCCTCTGTGATACAAAAAAATGCTTTCACCTTATGTCGTATCAGCCACTGATATGCTTTCTTCGTCAGAGCTTCGTGAACTCTTTGGGAGTGGGTTGCCTGTAAACAAATGCATATCTCTTATGTCAGTGGTCCCCAACCTCTTCGTGCCTACAGGCACATTTGAGAGTTTATGAGATCGTGGCGGGCACCAACCAATTAACAAAGCTAAATTTTCTTTTCTCTGGACAAATAAGATATGGACACCAAATAATACACAAAACAACACAACGTTTAATGATACAAGAAACCATGCAATCAAAAATACGTACTTTTATAAGTACAATTATTATTACTCAAGTGGGAAGTTAGTGTGATGTTTGGCACCGCATTTCATCGGCCAGTTTTTCAAATTTGGGAGCGTAGGATGATGTTGCTGCTCGCAAACAGTCGTCAAGATGGGCGTCAGTAAGTCGAGATCTGTGCTTTGATTTTATAATGTTCTTGGTTGAACGGCCTTCATTATTCAGTATAACCTCTTTCCATAACAACGCGGGCACCCAAAAAAAGCCTTTGCGGGCTCCATGGCGCCCGCGGGCACTGCGTTGGAGACCACTGTCTTGCATAGTTAGTACAAAAAGCAAAGCGGCAACATTATGCAAAAGTTTCTATTCTGTCAGGCACCGAAAAATCTAATTGAATTGTAGGGGTAGACTAACTTACTTACCTTGAGAATATGTGCACATACTAGTAAAGAAAGCCCCTTTGTGATGAGGTATGCAAAGTCAACCAGAGGAGGCCTGGACCCTGGCATACCAGTAAGAACAAGTACTTGTGGGCGGAAGTTTTTTACGTGTTCTTCCACTCGATTCAGTTCGAGCATTGCCTTCAGAGCAGAGCTGTATGAATGAGCCTGTGTTGAGCTGCCCCAATTTACCTCTAGAAAAGTGGAAGATAAAGTCATGTGATTGTTTTAAGCACATCATATTTTGAATGTTATTGATAAAATAGTTTCACCGTGCATTAAAGCACAATGTGGTTTATGGACAAACTGTTAAGTCAAGTATACCAGGTACTTTACCAAATATTTTAGTATTAAGAGAAATTTAAGTTTTAGATAAAAACCAAGTTAATAGATTGTATGTGTGTGAGAGTACACATATATTTATGTAACATTTACGGGTACTTGTGGGTTATCAGGACACATTGCTTTAAAAACAGGTTAGGTTAGTTGTCATTTATTGAAATAAAATATAATAACTTTCAAGTATATGTCATTTATCCACACACATTAACCTAACCTAACCTATTTTTAAAGCGATGTGTCCCAATACCCCACAAGTACCCAATTTTGATTTAAATTACTGTAAAATATTTTTTGAAGCATTTACTAAATGATAGGTCCATTATAAAAATACTGTATGTAAACATTCTTTATTGAACAAAATATTTCTTCTTGAAGAGATCTGTAACATTAACATTTATCAACTATGAACCTTAAGTGCGATAATGACTTGTACCTTATTTGCAGTGACGGGTAGAAAGTTGGGTATGGGAGAATAAAAACTCTCAACTGTAATTTAAAGACAAGCAGGACTCTCTGTTCTAAGAACTATGAAGGTCATAAAATGGTGGTAGAATACTTGGCAAAGACATTATGAATATGGCTTTCTTCAAACACACTGCCGTGAAAACCTCAAATCGTTATATAGTACAAATATGCTGATCATACCTGGCTTGCGGTAGGAGACGTAAAGATAGAGTGTGATAACGACCACAAATGTAAAAAGTGCCATCACCCAAGACATGAGGAACATGACAGCAATGCACAGCAAAGTTCCAATAAGGCTCACCCATGCATTGTAATACTGAAAAAGGAAGCAAAGTCTGAATGTTTATGTTAACAAGAGTATCGTTATTTCATAACCTCACATTTTTACTGACAATGTCATTTGAAGAATGCATCATAAAAGAGTGACTTTTAATTAACCCTGGTGCCAAGTATTTAAATGCTAGATGTTTTATGACGGATTTACTTTTTTACTAAAAACTTTTCCATATTCTATTTACTTCTTGCCTCATACACTGAATCTACTAACACATTTCTGCTACATCAGATTCATTGGTTAAACCACCAAAACTTGAGTGTAAGAGTCTCATTTGTGTATGTGACGTTGATATTAAAAGTGATGAGTATCTGGCGGTAATATCAATACAGTTTGCTTACCTACCTTGAATGCAGGCCTCCAACCAGGGCTCTTGGAAATGGATGCATGGAACACTGAAAAGTTGATGAGGGCATATGCAGCCAAGAAGAAATTTGAAAGTAAAGGAGCTATAACATTCAGCTGAGCTGAAAAAGGGAATATAATTTACAATTTCTATGACCATTAGTTCATTAAGAAAATATATAATACTCTATGGGTTTTGGATAATTGTGATTATGTTTTGCAAATTTCAAATACACAATGTTTCAAGAACAGAAATAATGCCAATCGTTAGGTGACTAGTTGTCATTAAATCAACAGCTTTCATATTTATTTATTTTTGTTTCTTATTTCACTGACCAGGATTAAATCAAGGACTCTGTGGATACTAATCTTGTGTGTTAACCAAAAGATGATAAACAAAACTGTTAGTAAAATGATAATCAGACATTGGATAACCAGACTTGGTGTTGCTTCCATAATTACTTGAGTATTATTTACACCTCAGATAATGGACTTGTCTAACAAAGGACAGAGAAAATTATTGTCAGTTATAATAATCAATAACATAAAAACTCTAAAAGATAACTGGCAAAGCAATGCATTTATCAGACATTAATAACCAATATAATCATGATGTAATGACAATAACTTGTTTCTGTGCAAATAAAATTGTATCAATAACAAATTAATAAGAACAAACAGCTAAATTATAGCATGCACTGGAAGGCATTTCAACAGCATATCTGACTGGGGAAAGGAAGAAGGTTATTTAGCAACCATGTATCAACTACAGTTATTATTTAGTTCCAAATGTCACATTGAATTTAATAAAATGAGGATGAAGAAGTGGTTGTGGCCTATTTCAAGTTGCCATCACATCAATTGTATAAGCAGACTGGGTATAACTTAAAGAGTTTATCACAACAACCAGTCCCTCACCAGTATTAAAACTGTGTGTCACCCCAGAATAAATAAGATATGTAGATCCTGATAACAGACTTGAGTAAATGGATACAGGAATAAGATGGCTCAATATAAAAATGCCTACCTTTTACTTAGGAGGTACCTGGACTGAGTTTCAAATGGATTACCAGTTATCCTGATTGAAGTTACTAAGTTTTTTCCTCAGCCATCCAGGCAGACAGCTTGAAATAGGTCATGGCCACTTCTTCCCTAGTCCCTTCTTGTTCACTGTGTATAAGCATCTTTCCATTCCAAAATAATCTCTGCTGTTAATACACCATTGTTACATAACCTAAAAAACAATCTAAACAGAAGCATCTATCTAATAACTTCCTATACTACACAAATATGATTAACACTTTTAAAAAGTTTAAGCAAGGTAAAATATCAGTCTTCGTCTATCTCCAAACTTGTATTTTGCCTCTTCCCATTTCAAAAAAAATCTCTGCTGTTAATACACCATTGTAACATAACCTAAAAACATAACCTCAACAGAAGCATCTATTTACCTACTTCCTATACTACATAAATACGTTCATCACTTTTACAAGATTTAATCGAAGTAAAATATTAAATGTAAGAGATACGCGTTTTATACACAAACTGAGCTTAAAAGTTAAGAAAATCGTGTATTTATGCAAACTTGGATGAAAAGTTGTGTAGCTATGTAAAATGTCACCATGAAGGAATTATGGGTAAGACACTATCAGTGAAAGGGCTAAACTTTAAACATTTACAAGCCACAATTAAAGCACTATTCTACAATGATAATATCAAACTGTACTTACCAATTAATATGCATCCAAATGATATAACAAATACCAGAATATAGCCACGAACTGGGTCATTATTTGCTCCATGTCCTTTTGAGAAGAAGCCTATAAGTGGATATAACTTATCTTTTGCCAGAGCCTGAAAACAATATATTTTTAGAAAAATTCAAGAGATGTGTTTTTATGTGTAAAACTGTAGATATTAAAGAATGTGACTTGAATTTTTTTTTAATGTTTGTCGCACCATTTAACTTCACTGTATCTTGCCTTACATGACATTTATAAAAGACTATTGCATCGTAGCAAAGTGTTGCAACATACAATAGGACATCCAACTAGTATAAAACCATATTTTGAAACAAAACGTTATAATATTGTTATCAATCTGAGGAGACAAATCTTTGATGTGAAGAAACAGATATACATAAATTGTCTGTGCAATTTACTGCGGAAGTTTATTTCTATGAAAACTGAAGCTCTCAAAATGCTTACAGATTCAACCAATTCAAGCAGAAGAAGCTATTGGAAATAAATGCCAATGAGATATACAGACTTTTCTAAAAGGGTCATGGCAAAGCAAAGTTAACACTCAAGCAAGCAGTGAATATTGAAATGTTTTGATGCTGACCGACCTGTAACACTCTTGGTGCTCCAACAAGGCTAGCAATGGCAGATGACAGGGTCGCAGCAAAGCAGCCTCCATAGATTAATGGACCCCATGATGAAGCTAATTCCATGGCCTATGCAAAGAAACAAACCAATAATTAATAACAAGTATCTCCTGTTCCAAGTCAATAAAAATTTATTAGTTTATATACAGCATGAGATGTGAGTTATGAAAAGTTCATTTTCTTCCAGAAACTTCTCATAAACAGCAAATGATGTTACTTACTTTTTAAGTACATAAAAATTTACACATTATAGTTGTAAACTTTCATTTAAAATAGTTTTAATCGCTTATGCTATTAACAAAACACAAGGATATCTTCCACATATATGGAAAGTTACTGGAAGTACAGAGCAGATCTGTTAGTGAAGCACATCGTGCTTTGCCATTTCGCAAAGCTATTACATCCATAACAGTGAAATGGTTAAGAGAAAGTTCCCTGAAAATACGTACTCATTGCTCGTATGTTACAAACCTGGTTATCATTATGTAGTCCATACATACAGGGCCGGTCTGTACAGTTGCTGAAGATTGTCCATTCATTAGGTTCACCTTTAACCTGAAGGTATTCTGTTACATTGCCAGAAGCCGTGCGTAGCACACAGCCTCCCATCATGAACCCATAGCCTACATAAGACAGAAATGTGATGACGATGGCCAGCAATGTGCCTATGGGAATGGCACTACTGGGGTCCTGTAAAAAATTGTCATACACAATCAATATTTCCTTAAATGTTCTCTTTATTTAATAGGTAAATTAGAAATACTCAGCATTTATATGTACCTTCCTTTAAGTGGTTAGAAATACCTTAAGGTCTCCTGACAAATTGGCTCCAGCCACAATTCCAGTTACAGCCGGGAAGAATACAGAGAAGACAGAGAAGAAATCATGATCAACTCCTTCGTAGTTGCGATAATCTGGGTATAGGTTCGATACGAATGTTTCTACTGTTGATAAATAAAACAAAGTAGGAAACTGTGTTATAATAAATATTTTTAAAAATATGGTACTCGTGGGTTATCGGGACACATCGCTTTAAAAATAGGTTAGGTTAGGTTAATGTGTGTGGATAAATGACATTGACTTGAAAGTTATTTTATTTTATTTCACTAAATGACAAATTATTATATTTTATTTGGATACGAACGAGCGCTTTCGGTAGTATTCCTTCATCCTGCAGAAAAGAGACAGAATCTTCCTCACTGTTAGGTAAATCCTAAATTTTTAACATGGTACTGAACAGCAATAAATAACTGAACGAACTAACAGATAACAACAACAACCGAGTATACGGGTATACCAATACGCATGCGCAGTTTTCCAAGTCCAGATATTCGACTCTCCCGTCTTGTGTCCCGATAACCCACAAGCACCAAAAATATTTTACCTATTAAAGGCAAAATTATTTGCAGTTCCTTTTTTGTTGTGGATGAAAGTGTTCTGTGAAATTGATAATTTTTGTTTGAATGTATACATTATTATTTCTAGGATTCTGGTATATTAGACTTTACAGGACTCAGTAAATATGTTTATAACAGGACACCATACAAATTTCACAAAACATTTTCAGAATTTTATCAGTTGTGTCATGAAACTAAACTATACTGCACAGTGTTAGTTAATACATTTCTCAGAGATTTATTATCATACAAGAATTCTGGATCATATCTGACTACTGATAGTTATGTAATTTAAATGCACTTAGCTTTATTCTCGCTTCAAAAGTTTGTGCGGCTACCGCACTGGTATTGTTCTTGGATGACGGAATTAAAAACTATCGAGGTTGTGTGGCCTATAATTGACTGGTACTTACACCAAGTTTCATGAAAATTGATAAATTACTGTCTCCAGTATTTATGTACATACCTGAATACATAAGATATGACTACAGAATTTTAGTCTGAAAACCTGAAGGGAAGAGACCACTTAACAAAACTACAGATATATATATATGAGAGAGAGAGACAGACAAACAGACAGGAGGATATTTATCTAAATAAGGGACACATGTAGCTCATTATGCATGCAAATGTAACATTTCATATGTTAGAAAGGTGTGTAATAAACTAATTTTGCTGAAAAGTTTTTCATTTTCTTTTTTCAAGAAACATACCATTGTATCCTACAAATCCTTTTACTATTTCTTCATCATCTTCAGGTCCCAGGAAGCTTCCAATCACAAAATCAATTTGAGAAGCGATTAAGACAAAAAGCAAACACATTTGTGTCTGAAATAGAAATATTATGTACCATTAATTTAAATTTGTAATTCTATATCTTTTTAACTACTGATTAGACTAGAATGAGGCTTTAACTTAAGCTAATTTAATGAAAATTTTTGGATGTCAATGGCCTGTAAGATTTATGATCAGGATCTTGTTAAGTTGGATCAGTCAACTGATACATTTTCCTTTGTTAATCGTAAAAGTGTTCTTACTCGTCCAGTATAAAACACATTTTAGCTGGTTATCTGTTTCAGTGTAAGGGCTGACATTTCCATACACTCAAAATAATTATGAAGCGCAAAATTTAAGTTTGTAATAGCAGATGTTTTTGTAACTTAACTTTTTTTCAAACTAAGTTAAATATGTATTTTAAATTAATTATAGGGATTATTATCTTTAGTTATTAGCAAATATTAGCACAATTTTGAACTTATCAAGGACAAGTAATTGTTGAGGCCTATTTATAATTACATTGAGACATCAAATTACTGACCCTCGTAACCCAATCCATGCCAACTATTGCAAGAATAAATATGCCTATAAGAGTTACAAGGCCAACCACACGGATGTCATTACTTGCTCCGTCGATGATTGTGGTACCAAAGCTTCTCAGTAAATCTTGAAGCGACTCGCAAAAGCCAACAATATACATTGATACAGCAACAGAATTGGCAAGTGTGAACATGAGGCCAATTGCTCCGCCAAACTCTGGTCCCAGTGACCGTGATATCATGTAATAAATACCACCTGCAGAGAAAACGTGGAATCAATTATATTATCAGTAAAATATGGTTTCATTTTCAAATCATTTATGTTGTTGATTTATGTACTGGTCCCTTAAACCTCTTTTATAAATATGTATTTTTTATGTTACTATAACCACATACATTAATCCTAGGATCATGCTCTGTAATACTTGGATTATATTTACAAGATTAAAAGGTAGAATTAATGCAGAAAAACTCATTTCATAAATGAAAAATGGCATGTACTGTCCAAGGACCGATGATTAAAATAAATGAAATGATAATTAATATTTCTTACTTATTTTTTAAAGGTGCGAAATACGATTATTTGATATTTCTTGGGGAGAACATAAACCGAAGTATCTGAATTAAATTACAGTAAAACCTCTCTAAGTTGGAAACTTTGAGTTCCACGAAAATGTGTCCAACTTTCAGAGGTGTCCAAGATAGAGGAAAAGAGAAAAATCAGATTGTGGTCTAATGACAATATAATCAAATGCATATGACTGACACATTTATAAGAGTTCGATTTGTTACATTTCAGTGGTCATTATGAAATGTTTAATAAGTTGCTTACCTCCTTTAATTTGTCCATTTGTACAAACAGCAGACATAGAAATGCTCGTTACTAAAGTTACTATGTTCGCAAGGCAAATTATTGCCGTACCTTCTCCTAAAACATTTAACCAAATTGTCAGTCTTTACATAAACAAATTAATTAATATTTTGTTATTCAGGCAAGTTATTGAGTTTTAATGAATTAATAATTTATTCCAGATCAGTAACTCTCAAATATAAACTAATGTTATAATAAAGGCCAACGTAACAAATTGAACGACTTAACAAGTTCCATTTCAATTAAGGGATTTCTTTTATTCTGCAACCCCCAAATAAACTCTGAGGGCAAGTATATTTTTACATCTCCAAAGATTCAAATTTCAAGCACGCCCAGAAAATATTTTTGTACAGTAATAACTATTTTCACTTAAAAATTGCTGTTCTATGATTCATTGTAACTACAGATGGCGATAATTTCCTTCGGAACCTTGTCGCACAATTGTGCGTGTCAGAACATAATTTATTTCTCGTTGCATATTTACAAAAGACATCTGAATCCCATGATGTTCAAATAAACAGATCTTACATTTAACATTTTTAATGTTAAGTTCTTCCATAAGAATTCTTTCGTGTCCACATTTTATCGTTCTAGTAACCGCAGTCCCTAACGAACTTACTTAATTCCCACTTGTTTGATCTGTAAAGATGATGACTCTCATAGATATTCACAGACAAAGGAATAAACAGTTTAATTACGAGAAATCGTAGAAGATTAAGCATTCTGAATGTATCACGTACCAATTCCAGCTTGGCCAATAACCCAGGAGAGACGTAAGAAGAGCATAACACCCCAGATGTTGAGAAGACATCGCATCTAATGTGTGAGAGAAACAGTCTACAAGATGGTTCAACAACTAAGTCACTTAGCGATACAGTAAAAATCACCTCTCACCAAAAACAGTTCTCGGAACCAAACGTAATTAACAAAACAAATATATCACTTAATTTCAAAGATAATTAACTAAGAACTAGGTTTAAAATCCATTATAAGGCTGTTTCTACTGGTTCCTAAAAATGTTGAAAATATTACAGCTTTATATTATTTGTGAATAAATGAAAATTAATATCGAGATCAAAACTCACAGTAAATGAAGAAGGTATTAAAATTATACAAATGCTGATCCTGCACTTGTTGAGAAAAGAGGTTGAATTATGCTTCAGTGTAGCTAGCCGTACAAAAGAATAACATCTATAAATATTATATTTAATTAAGTTGGAAATATTTCCCATGTTAAAATCTTCGACATAAAAAATATTTTCGTCCTCGTAGTTAATTGGTGTGATTTTACAGCAATAAGAAAGTAGCAGGCATCTGAATTCCATATGATTGGAGACAACACACAATTATAGTGTTTTAATTCTAGATAATTATGACAGTTTAGTTTTTTTGTGTACTAGCTTACAAATACTCCTTCCAGCCATCCAAACTTGATGACCTTCCCCTTCTTTTGTTCCTGTGGTTCGGCTTCAACATTTCGTTCCCTCTGAAAACATCAAACAGGACACAACGCATTCTGAGAAATGTGATTCATAATAAAAAATTTATACAGGATGTCTACAATGAAACGCCCTGATTTTGGAGAGTTTTTAAAAATAGGCACATTTCTTTTTCAATAAAAAAAATTATACAGGATGTCTACAATGAAACGCCCTGATTTTGGAGAGTTTTTAAAAATGGCACATTTTTTTTCCTTCAGGTCTTAAGGGTCCAGATTCTTAATTGACATAACACAATTCAAGTCACAAAACTTCATTAGGTGGGGTTGTGTTTGGTTGGGGATGTCGATTCGATTAATGTGGCACAGGATAGGGGCCAGTGTTAAGCTGTTGTGAACACGGTGACGAACTTTTTAGTACCCTAAAAGGTGAAGAATCTTTTAACTAGCTCAGCACGTTACAAGGACTCTGCTGCAAGGAGTTGTGTTCAGCTCCTGATTTGGTTTGGGTATAAAGATCAAACCGCCACGGTGGTCTAGCGGTTAGAACGCTGGCCTTGTAATCCTGGGGGTCTCGGGTTCGATTCCCGGCGGTGCCCGAATTTATAACTTGTGTTGGGCAAGGCCGTGGTCTAGGCAACACGGAGTTTTCCTCCGTGGCATCCCAACAATTACTCCATTCACACACAGAAGAAGGCAATGGCAAACCACTTCGGGATCATCTGCCAAGAACGTATATGAACAGGGCCCAGTCCGAGAAAAGGATGGAAGGACCCTGTTCAAAGGCAATGGCAACCCACTTCTGGATCATCTGCCAAGAACGTATATGAACAGGTCCCAGTCCGAGAAAAGGATGGAAGGATCCTGTTCATATGGACCTGTCCTCAGACAGAACACTAAATAAAATAAATAAATAGAGATCAACCAGAACCACATCAAAAAAACCTGTTGAAAAGTAGAATAAACAAGCCATCAAACAAAGACAACAACAGATAACGAATTTAAAATAAATAAGAATGAAGGTGTATGTTTGTGTTATTTTACTATTCTACGTAACTAAGCGCTAAGCTGTGTATCTATTACCATGCCGGATTTTGAAACTTACTGATACTTCACTGTTTTATGAGAAAATGTTAGAGCGTACGTCCCTTCCTGTGTGTTAGTACCACGTCATAGAAACGTACGAGAAGTGAATTTGGTTTCCTCCTTCATTTCGGTAGTCATTAACTGTGAGTGGTTAGCTGAGGTACCAGTTACCGACGCGGTGGTCTAAAGGAAGGAAGCTGTCATGACATCATAGGTAGAATAACCTCAATACACCTGCCGGAAACCAAACCCCGTACGTCCATTTAGCAATCCGTCGTTGCTACCTTGTGCTATCACAGCTTCGCCTATGGGCTGATTCTGGATTATCTTACGACTGTTTTTCAACTGCACAGACTAGTGTGGTGAAGGCAAATTGACCTATATAGAACCAGGTCTCTGTCTTGACATTAGCATACCGAACAAAGGATAAAATGAAAAATCCAAGACAGCAGATCTCCGGGTCAGTATTCGAATCGGGAACCTTCCGAATACGAAGCTGGGATACTAACCTTTTAACCATGAATTTCGGTTTGTCTGTAGTGTATCACTGATGTCATGTCCAGCTAATGTGAAGTGGGATCTTGTTTTTTTTTTAGTTGTGTAGAGTTCATTATGTCTGTGAGACTGTTTTATTTTTCTTGTGTTATGGGGCCAGAGGGCACCGTAATTACATGTTCATGAAGTACAGTGCAAGTATTAACGTAGAGTTTCTTGAAATTATCGCAGCATTTAGTAAGAAACGTGCAATTGTAGAACGTAAGAAGCTTGAGTTACATTATCGCAGCATTTAGTAAGAAACGTGTAATTGTAGAACGTGAGAGGCTTGAGTTACAAAAGGGTCTATTTGCTAGAGGTTTCAGAATTACAAAATTAGTTCCCTTGCTACGTAATATACAGTAATTATTATGGTGGCGTCACGCCAAAATTCTTGAAAGTTGCCGTTTATTTAATGAGAAGAAAACTGTTCACTTATTTATTCTTCATTTAATGTAATTCACAGCCGAAAAACGTATATTTGTGAAATTTAACCTTAATTGTAAACACTGCAAAAGCGAATAGTTGAGTTCTGGGAACTGATAATAACAGTTACATAATAAATATTCAGATATCTGTGGATGTGTGTAAGCATAAACCAGCTTTCGTCTTGTCGTGGATTCTTCACTGACGCTGATACAAAGTGCAGAACGGAGTGGTCGACCATCGCGTGCCCTTGTTTACATTTGCAAAAACTGTGACATAAGCGTAGAGAATTGTGACGGGAGGCCTCTAATACTTTAATGTTTTGTCAGTAGTCTTAGCACGCTTATTTGGCTCTGTCACGAATGTGTTGAAAGATGATGAACAGCATATTAATGAGAACCTGCTTCAATCTTCTCATCTGACAATACTCCAGCCCTCTCATTCTAACAGATACCGTGTGATTTCTCAGATCCTCGATATAAATACGACGGAAGTAATTTCAGTCAGACCAAGAATACTTCCGTTCACTCACATGATACACTAGTCTCATATAATTTCTGAATGGAAATGCATTGCAAAATGAAAATCAGCTTTATCGAAAGATGGAAAGGGACAAATCATGTAGAAATTTTCGAAAAAAAAGTGGGGTTTATTTGTTCTGATTTTTAACTCTGTAGTAGTACCTATATGTATCATGTAATTTAACGCTGTATTTCCCCCCAAAGAATGTATTTATAAGTTTCATATAATTTATTTTCTTAAACAACATTAACCACTGATATTTTAGTGGCTGTGCGTTGTGTTTCTTCGAGGTACTAACTGATTTTTTTAAAAATAATTTAATAAAATTAGGGCTTCGGGACACTGCTCTGGTCTTCTCAAAATTTCTAAATCGAAATAAATGATTTGGTAACTACCGTGTAACTTCAAAATAAATTTCTATTAAACTGTGCTAATATGCGTTGTAGTAAATATCACGCCTTGAGTCCTTGGTTGAAATTCAAGTATACATTGTCTTCAAAGAAGGAGACGAAGCTTCATGTCAAATCAGTGAATGCAATTATAATATCCTGTTCATTAATAATGCTTTAAGACAAAGGAACAGACTGCTTCAGTCGTGTTTTGCAGAATCGGTTGGCCATGCCATTCATTCACGTCAAAGACTGTAAATATGTTTACGTTCGTCCTCTGCCAAACATCAACAGTATGGAAAAGGGAATGAGTTTTGGGTGGCCAGAGACAGGTTACAAAGAAACCTATAGGGAATTTCGAAATGTTTCCTTCAATGACATTAAGCAGACAGCGGAAAATTTCAGCTTTCATCGTATTATTTATTTTGCAACAGGGTGTAATTGAATGAAGTATTTATTTTTAAAGTACGATACTATAACGTTAAGAATAGTGTGGGGTTCTGAATTACAGTCTGTTATTCTGGGACAAATATTTTCGTGAAGGGTTCTCAGGGATTCCCCGGCACGGATTAAATCTTTCCAAATATTTTTAGACCAATATCGACTTCAGAGGGTTAAATTGCTATTTGACCGCCTCGTTCTTTGTTGTTTTGTGACTGTGGGTGCATGAAAGTGATCTGATCCCAACCTAAGCAGTCAAAATGATGTTTCAAGAAAGCTTTACACCAACATAAGAAGACAAGGCTTTTAATACGTCGGAGAAGAATGCAAATAATATTGTAGGATTTGAGTTTCTCGCGACGGTGAGTACGAAGATGGCTGTCCTCTGGGTAGCCTGCTACTCATCGCCCTGATAATGCAGGCAGCAAGAACCTCTGAAACGATGGTCAACTTCTACCAGACCACACGACGCCACAACCCAGAAATCAGCCATCAACAGCAGAAAGCCGAACTGGGCTTGTCCTGTTATGAAAAGAACGATTCTGCTGTCAAATTAGTAACTTTAGCGGATTCTTAGAACCAAAGATCTACAAGTAAGAAAGTTTTTGTAAGAATCAGATCAGTCTACTACGGGTCTGCTTGATTATTTTTTTACTCTCCCTAAGTTAGTACTATTTTATTTATTTATTTATTTATTTATTTATTTAATTCTCCCAAGAAACCAGCAGCTGGAAACAATGGATCACCGTAACGGAGTTGTTTCGCTTACAGAAAGTAACTTCTCTTCCCCCTCCGAATACATTGGGGTCTGAATCTGAACGACTACGTTTAAGTTTAGTTCCCCTCTTCAGCTCTTTAGTATTCTGTAGAGTTCCTGGGTGGCAGTTGTAATGTCGAAGGTCAGTCAGTGGATTCAACATACGAGAAGTGCCTTTAATTGTCTGAAATTTACAAATGCATAATTATAATGAAGAAGTCATTATAACTCAGTCCGAATAGCAACTAGGCTAAGTGCTGGACGACTGGGGTAGGGACCAATGTCCAGACCAGCAATGGGGCCCACTCAGAGTCAATTTACACCTCCAGCTAATGTCGAGGTTACGAATACCCGGAGCCATATATCCAATCTACCATACGCCCACATGTCGCGGTACTTAATTAAGCCCCAGGGACAATTTTGTTGCTATACGTCAAACTTTTAATGTGCAACCAAAAGCGACAAGTGTTTCTGTTAAAGTCAAAAAGCAACTAGACTTAAAGATGACTGACTGTGTAAGACTTGAGGTTCTCACAGCGGTGAGTATGAAGATTTCCGTCTTCTGGGTTGTTGCGCTGTGTAGTCTGGTCGGTGTTAACCAACGTTTCAGAGGTCATACCGCCTCCGTCATCAGGGTGATGACGGAGGCAGTATGACCTCTGAAACGTTGGTTAACACCGACCAGACTACACAGCGCAACAACCCAGAAGACGGAAATCTTCATACTCACCGCTGTGAGAACCTCAAGTCTTACACAGTCAGTCATCTTTAAGTCTAGTTGCTTTTTGACTTTAACAGAAACACTTGTCGCTTGTGGTTGCACATTAAAAGTTCGACGTATAGCAACAAAATTGTCCCTGGGGCTTAATTAAGTACCGCGACATGTGGGCGTATGGTAGATTGGATATATGGCTCCGGGTATTCGTAACCTCGACATTAGCTGGAGGTGTAAATTGACTCTGAGTGGGCCCCATTGCTGGTCTGGACATTGGTCCCT